AAAGATTTTTCCACTTGTTTATATACGACGCACCGTACGTCGTCTTAGTGCACATGCATTGATTTTTTCTCCATCCTCTTACAGTTCGTCCAGTTGGCTTCGAAGGCAGTCCAGTTGGCTTCGAAGGAGATGGATTCATCCGCGGAGGATAAAGTCCTCACGACAGAGAGGCTCATCTTTTTCAGGGACCATTACGAGATCGAGAGTGGGCAAGGCAACGATACTGCTTCTGTTCCAAGAGGCAGATAGACAGAACGCTCGGCCGTCGAAAGTCCTCACGGCAGAGATGCTCGTCTTTTCAGCGACGATTAAGAGATGGAGAGGGGGAGCAGGCACATTACCTTTACGTTGCTACTTTCTTCTGGTCTAGTTTCACTAGCTACGTATGCGCAAGCTGCCTTACTCAACCTAATATGTCAACACCATAATAACGTCTGTTACTTGCTGAAACATTTTTCCTGTTGGTAGCTACGTAGCTATATTATCGCTAGTAATGATCATGGTTGTATATACTTGCGCTATAGTACACATAAGGCTCGCTCTGCCCCAAAAAATGCCAAGCATTTCCACTAGTAATACACCAATTTACTTATTTCATGCATGGTCCTTGCACCGAGGGTGCCTTTTTATAATAATTTTTTATACTTTAGTGCTTTTTGTTTCCATTTTAATGCAGAGGGTGAGTAAGGAAAGAAGGCTGCATCAAGACAGTTTCACAAAATCTAGTCTTCCACATGTCACATGATCAGGGGTGGGTCGTGAGGGGGGAGCTCGCTCCCCCTTGGAGTTAAAGTAAACCTTTAAGTATGCAAAACAAGTCTGACTGGCGTGCAACTGCAGAAACTACAGTACCACACACTATAGTCACTACGCCACCTAAACCAGTATAGGTATATACTATCGTAGACGGTTTACAGGAGCTTCTAAAGTAAGATCTAATGCCCATATCAACATAGACTTGCTTAAAAGCCGACTCACATAATATCATACTTTACAGTTAGGCGGCTGGCAACTATTTTTAACCCTCGGCACGCATGCGCGAGGGTTATAGTACTTGGTTTGTCATTCTGTCCATCCATACGTCCGTCTGTTACCACGTTTTCTGCCACCACTTGCAACGAGACAACGCGTTTCTATTTTGGAAATCTGTTCACACATGCACAAGATTTTCCGTAAAACAGCTAGCTACCAAGCCTATTGTTGAGCTAAAAAAGCATGGCAAATGCACAGCAAAAGATGTGCCTCACTTAGTAGCATGCTTACCTTGTCTGCAGCCTTTCACAGAAGTCTGTGTAGGTCGGTCTTCCTCAACTCTGGTTACATGGAACCGCGAGCACACGCGTCTCCACCAAGGGTTTGCACTTTAGCGCTTTCATTTTGCCCCTCCCCCTCCTTGGATCGACTTCTAAACGAACCCCATGATGAACACAGCTTAAGCTGTGGTGGATTTCAATATAGCCAGAGGTGTACAATTGACTGGCTGTTGTGTTCTCTATTGTAGCCATACCTGCTGGGGGCTCTGCATACTCCATCAATGAGTCAGCTAGAGCTGTGTCTCCAATCATGTCCAACAAGTATATCATCCTTCTCATTTTCATTGGATCTGTACTCTGCACATAGTACTCTACTGCACTGTCAACATCTCTCTTATCATGAGGGATGGGGAGCAAGTTGCAAAGGAAACTAAGGTTACTGGTGTTCTCAAAGACATTCCTGAGTGCGGCTTTACTTGGAGGGAGAGCTGCGAGGAAAGGCAACGAGATCATCACTAACGAACAAAACGTCATCGAACATTTACAAGATCTTTTTCGTAAAATAAAATTATGTCATCTCTCTCAACCTATCAGACAATACCATCATCATCATTCACTGGGCAGTCATAACCTAACAGTAATAGTTTTATTTCCTCTGTGTGGGGTGAGCGGCTCGCGGCGACTGCCTTACGTTTCTTCCACGTCCAGACTTGGTCCCCTCCTCCAGTAGCCATCTCTGAGTCACGTGCGCTGGCTTCTGGCCTGCTGTACTACTGTGTCGTAGTGGTCGACATCGTCGATCGAAAGCGGGCCTTGAAAACTGTCGGAAACGCTAGGGGAAGAACAAACTCCAGACTAGACGAGAATGAGCGTAGGGAGGGCGGGCGGTGCGGCTGATGCTAGAATCACGTGATTTGTTAATAATGTGCGTGCGCATGCGCAATAAAAACAATAGTAGTCATGAAGATGAGGAGGGGAGAGAGTTTTGGGCAGTCTCAGTTGTGGGACTACTGGCTTTGCTCATACCGTCCAGTACCTTGTTCACCAGCTGGGAGAGGAGAGGAGAGGAGAGAGAGAGAGGGGGGGAGAAAGGTATGTACAGAGAAAAAAGGGAGATTATGAACGGGGATTATTAAGGCATGCACAAATGAGCCTAGCTCTAGTCGAAACATTGGTACATAATTGCTGGAAAAAATTTAATGGATGAATGTGAATACAAGCAACCAACTGAATTTTCGTCATCTGGGTCATTCTTGGGACTTAACTGACTCAACTGTTATATCAGAGAGTCGGTAGACTCTCTATATAGGGACGACACGGGTCAAATCTCAGGTGATCCACGTACAAAACGACTAAAAACTCGGTGAGAATCACTCCCTAGGCCTTCAAAACATACTAGCAATAGTCTACGGGCCCATATCTACCTATATATGTCCCCCAAGACCTCATACGCACCTTCAGTCGTCCACGCGAGAATTCGCTCATACGCGATTTCACGATTTTGGTGTCATCATCATCATATTCTTCATCTTCTTCTTCTTCTTCTTCTTCTTCAGACCCGCTAGCTCCTTACCGGAAGCACTTGAAGCGTTGATTTTTTCACAGAACGTCTCCGAATTTGACGGAGGTGTGCACGCACATCAAGCGATCGTTTGTTTCTTGCCGCAAGTCACTACGGTAGATCGTTGAGCTCCTCCTCGGTAGTCACTGAACAACGCCATTTGCTGCTAACTCAGCATCAGTGAGCCGCATGCGCAGAGGAGGGCGTTTCCAATGCGGTGCGCGCGCATTTTGTCTCGCAAACCTGGTCCACTAACGAGACTAAGCCAGGACTGGATGCCTGCAGAGAAAACTACTCTCATCCTCCAGTGCCTTCGTGTACACATTTGTAACTGGCTTGCTTGCGTTTTGCTGTTGCGAGGAGCAACTTGGCAATCCGCGCCGTGTTACGCGTGCCCAGTCCATTAGCTTCTGCTTTCAACAGTTATCTCTACAACATAGCCATGAACATCAGAGTGACTGAAAATGCAGTGTTGTCATAAGCTGTTAAAAATAGTGGAAACAAGTGGAAAAATCATTTCTTCAGAAATGAAAGTGGGATATAGGGATGACTTGAAGCACCAAAAAGGAAGAAACAAGGGGTCATTACACACCAAATATGCACAAAGCCACATGACACCATCCCTATATCTTTGTTTTATTGTTCATAAGCAAAGTTTAATATGAGACAAAGATATAGGGATGGTGTCATGTGGCTTTGTGCATATTTGGTGTGTAATGACCCCTTGTTTCTTCCTTTTTGGTGCTTCAAGTCATCCCTATATCCCACTTTCATTTTGAAGAAATGATTTTCCACTTGTTTATTATTAACACAGCCCAGTAATGGTGCTCCGAGTGAAGGATGGGGGAAGAGGAAGAGTGAGGAAGGGGAGGATGTGTGGGAGGAAGGGGAGCGTGGTATGGGAAAGCTGCAACCTGAAAGAGGATGTTTCCAGTGACAAAGTCATTATCCACGAGGTTGACGAGGTAGTATATAGGTGTTCTGGATGTGTGAGATGATGTGGTGGGAGGTGGACTCGGGGCTGTAGAGACTGGCCCAGTGGGTCCCCCACAACATGAAGGCCTCGTCCTAAAGGAGTGGAGACACCATCAGTAACATTTGTAATGGTAAAAAGAAACGGCTCAATGTCTCAAGAAAGTCGCAGAAAAAACGCAGATTGCAAAATTCCGTTGAAGACAGGATAATGAATGGTAAAACAAAAACCAGAGGAAAAGCAGGAAATTCACAGATAATGAGAAAGAGAAATGTTTGAAACAAAACCAGCAAAATGAGAACCAAAAATAAGTGATTTGCGGCTATATCTTCCAAATATGGAAGCTGACAGGGTTGATGACCGTGGGTTGTATGGTCTCCATGCCAGGGAAAACCCCCCAGGTGACGGCTATTGGCTGGTACGAGTCGCAGTTTGTCATGTTTTCCGTTCCCTGGGAAGGAGAAGAGGGTGGAGGGATTTGAACAGCTATATACTGCAGTGGCATACGGCAGTAGCTATATAGAGTCGCAACTCTGGTTTTAGGCTAAACACATTTCGCTATATAACAAGTCCTACCTCATGGTTTACTCCTGGCACTCCCTGTCGTCCCACCCCGGGGTCTGTGGTACCCCAACCCTACCCCTACCTCCCCTCGTTCTCCCACATGGATTACCCCTCATTCCCCTTCCCTCCGGCTCTCCCATTCACCCATCCCCCTCACCCCACTCCCATCTGCTAGTACCAGCTCCTATACTGCTGGGTTGCCTTAGCAGAGTTCTCGCCTAGACTATAGAATGTATTCCAATTCACCTTATGAGGACAGTTATTTTGTTGTCTTGTGTAGTTGCATCGTTTGCCTTAGCTTTGACTTCATTATTGGCACATTATACACACACTGATATACATCAGCGCACGTTCCAAAAAGCGAATAATACTTTAATGTAGTAAAGTTTGGTGAGTAGAAACCTTCCAGACCATGGTTTAGACATTCTCGCACGAAAGAGCACCAGCAAAAATGGAAATAGGGAAGCAGCGTGGCTAATACCACTGATACACTGATATTTCACCTGATCGAAGGTGGTAGGTGGACCCCCAGGACTTCGCCAAACCTGCACCATTCTTTGCTCTGACCTAAGGCGATATGTCATGCAACACAAATGAGCTGCCAAGATAATGAAATTAATGAAGAGCAGCTATATAATTACGAGACGGTGCCATGTGAAGGGACCCAACTCATTGTCACATTCCTTCCTCTCACGATTAACACTCTCCTCTCATTGGAACTGCCGTATGTTTCACCATTGAAGATTCGAACTCTGTACTCTGAGATGCAACTTCCACCGTCATTTGGAGGATCCCATGACAGAACGTCGCAAGAGGACATTCGGATGTTGTTGACTAGTCCTAATGGCAATGTAACATTGATAGATGAAAGAGTGACAGCAGAAGTAGGTACTAGTGTTTAGGCAAACCAACTACCACACCATGCACTCAGTGGGGTCTGAATTGTGCATGCAGTTTCAGTGCGAAATACCCATGTTTTGCCTCTAGAGTGCGAGTAGTCTTGGGTTAAAGCAATGCGATTAGGTCCAATTTTCGAATTCTTATGTAGCCAGCTACCCTCACCGTTTTCCTTACATTATCTGTTAGTAGAAAACACTTTGTTGGTCCCCCAAACTACACATGTAACATACCTGGAACAGTAAATACTTCTGCAGGGCACTCTACACATGATTAGCAGATAATCTCTGGGCAACGCGTGGCTTATCTGGAACCTGGGACTCAATTGTGAGTCCAACCCTGGAACCTGGGACTCAAATGTGAGTCCAACACGTGGCTTACCCTGAACCTGGGACTCAAATGTGAGTCCAACATGTGGCTTACCCTGAACCTGGGACTCCTAGCTCGGTGTTCTGATCTAGGTCATCACGTGACTGTTTAGAATTTATTATCCCGCTCCATTGCTAGCTACATCCAGCTCTGTCTCCATCATGAGCTCAGGCACTTCTCAGATTGGTTCGACCATTTGGAGTTAAAAGTTATTGGACGAACAATCTCAATGTGAGAAGTGCGTATCAAGAGCGGCCATGGCTGAGCTCACGATGGAGACAGAGCTGGATGTAGCTAGCAGTGGAGCGGGATAATTAGTCAAATGCTAAACAGTCACGTGATGACCTAGATCAGAACACCGAGCTAGGATGCGCTTTGCATTACGTAATCCACACAAGTAAAATTGCACAAATTCCGGGTGGTTCAACTGCACTGAACCTCTTCTACGTTCTATGAACTATGTTTGTAGAGAAGGTTCAGTACAGTCGAACCACACAAAACGCATGCACAGAAACCACGTGACCAGAATGGAAATGGAAGTTGAATGAAAATGGCAGAAAGTTAGATGGAAATAGATGGCCCTAAACAGCCATCATACCCAACAATTCCCCTTGCAGAAGAATATTGATTTTAAATGGGGGCTAGTTAGCATTAGTTTTCTTGGGACGTTTCCCCACCAATACCATAGTTATTATGTAAAAAAAGGACAAAATCTTTTCCATTGTGTTTTAAGGGATGTGGCAGTATGTAAGGGCTAAATTTAGACAGGCAGAAAATTAAAATAAGACCAGACTCGCGCCCTTTAACAAAGCCTGTATCTAACCACGAGGATGTAGCTACTTCCACTCGAATACATGCTTGAAGTTATAACCAACCCAGTTACTGGCAAAGGAGGAAAATCTCTGAGAATGCGACTCACCTCCGACTACCAACGAATGAGGCTTCTGCTGAAGAAAAGAAGTAACCACTAAATCTCGTGTGACACCAAGTGCTGGATCAAGGGAACCGAAGCCTACTACATCCAGTGCATCCACCCGCTGGGGAAAAGGGTTTCTGTGCGTCAAAGAGAGAAAGGTTTTCCGGAAGCAGCAGCAGGAACAACGAAATGCAAGACAAGTGGATACACGAGGGACAGGGAGGGAAGAGGGTGGAGACGCAAGGAGACCAGAGGAGCCAGACACAGAGGGACAAGACACAAGTGGGACAAGGCAGCAAAAGGGGGGAGAAGAAACAAGAGGAGCAGACAGGCAAGAATAACCCGAGAGAAGGGGAGCAGAGGGGCAAGGAGAAGCAAGGGAGATTAGAGGTGATATGAGGGACAAACCGGGGGGCAAGGGGGCCAGGAGGAAAGGGAGAGAGAGGGGGGGGGAGGAAGGCAAGATGGTAGGGGAAGAGAGGGGGAAGAAGGAGAAGAGCAAATAGGGACTAGGAGGCAAGACGGAGAAGATGCAAGAGGGACAGGAGTAGGAGCAGCTCAAGCTGCAGGAGTGGTGCAGGAGAACGGGATACAAGGAGGACGGGGAGACAAGACCACCAGAGCACAAGAAGTACGGGTCGTCACGATCGACAGGGAGAGAGAGTTAATGCCGAAGAAAGCAGCTACTTAAACTTGTTGTCTCTAGGAATCTACAGATCTGCTCAGACTGAGGGACAGGTAAGGTCCAGGTATCCGGCCATGTCCTGGAGACTGGCAGAGATGACTGTCACCAGCTCCGAGAAGGTGGGCCTCTTCCAAGGTTCTGAATCCCAACACTCACTCATTATACAATATCTGTTATAAAAAATTACAGAAGAAATACTATAAAAGCTACTAAAGAGGAAGTAAAAACACTGATATATACTGTGTTCCATGAACAATAATTGAGCCTGTTTTCACCCGTATAGTTTTTCAAATGTCTACGGTACTAGCAATTATACGTGTGTATACATCACCTTTACCAACAATGCTGCGGAGGGTGATACTGCTCTCAGGAATATAGAGTCCATCATCGGACATTTCTTTGATTAAATCCAGCAGGGCACTGGGCAGATTCAGGTCCCTTCTACTTGTCACACATGTCAAAAAAATGAAATGACACATCCAAGATATTAAAGTGTGATTCAGTATATACGCTGGATATCGAAAAATGAATGCAGAAAAACACAAAAATTGTATAGCTACCTCACTGCACATTACACAAAGTTTGCAAGAGTTTATAGCAGCTACTTGAACTTGTTGTCTCTAGGAATCTACAGATCTGCTGTGACTAAGACCAGTCACTGAGGGACAGGTAAGGTCCAGGTATCCGGCCATGTCCTGGAGACTGGCAGAGATGGCTGTCACCAGCTCCGAGAAGGTGGGCCTCTTCCAAGGTTCTGAATCCCAACACTCACTCATTATACAATATCTGTTAGAAAAAATTACAGAAGAAATACTATAAAAGCTAAAGAGGAAGTAAAGAGTAAAAAACTGATACTGTGTACCATGGACAATAATTTAGCCTGTTTCTTTCACCAGTAAAGTTTTTCAAAGTTAAATACGATACTAGCAAGTATGTATAATTATATAGGTGTGTATACATTTCCTGGGAGCAAGCTGTATTTTGTGGTTTGTCAAGTCTCTCTCCTCCATCCAAGTATCTCATGAGAGAGAAGGGGTCCACTCCAGGGTAGGGATTCCTTCCCAATGAAAACACCTCCCAACATGTCACTCCAAACGACCACTGCACATTTGAAACAATCAGTGTGTGAATCGTCATTGCCTATTGTACTTGCCACATCAGATTTCTCTGAGAAGACTCCATCGTTCAAGCTCTCAAGAGCCATCCACTTGACTGGTAATTTCACAGGGCCTTCCCCACTCTCCTGCATATCTGCTTGTCTGAAATAGTTTCTGGCATAGATCTCCTCCGACAGACCAAAGTCTGCAACTTTTATGACGTGGTTCAAATCAATCCTAATGGGAAGGAATTGTTAAGTTCTGTAGTAAACATCTTATCCCTGTACATGCAGTTCCTTGCAGCAAGGTCGCGGTGAACAAACTGGTTAGAAGCCAAGTACTCCATGCCCCTAGCAATTTGAAGGCAGATTGAGAGTAGATACGCAGCCATCTCTTCAATCTACCAGTGAAAGAATCAGGTTAATTCCTGCCTTAACAGACGCACTTTGAAGTAAAAGAGCATTCAACACAAAAGTATGACAACAACTCGATTACTATGTTATACCATTTCAGTCATGTTCTCGTTTTCCACTGTCAAATCTGCTCTATTGTTTCGCAAGTATGAGAGTAGATTTCCATTGTGCATGAATGGCATGATAATGAGGAGGGTCCTACTCTCACTGATTGAAACACCCAGCAACTTCATGACATTTGGATGATCAAATTTAGCCATCATATGACTCTCCTCGGCTAAACTTCTAACATCATTAAAACTGAAGATCCCTGCAAGTCGATAATATTGTTATGAGTACAAGTGTACAAATGTAATACAATCTCTTTCACCTTTTAATGTCTTCACTGCAACAAAATCCTCCACAGACCCTTTTTCATCATGTAATACGGCTTTGTAGACAATTCCAAACTCTCCTATTTTTACAAGATCAGTAGCTTCATTGAACTAAAAATGAAAGGGTCCACCTCACCTTTACCAACAATGCTGCGGAGGGTGATACTGCTCTCAGGAATATAGAGTCCATCATCGGACATTTCTTTGATTAAATCAAGCAGGGCACTGGGCAGATTCTGGTCCTTTCTACTAGTCACACAAGGCCTAACTGTAGTTGTGCAATGCTCAATCCTCAGAGAAGGTTTTCTCTTCCACCTGCAGAAACGTATATGTCCAGTATAAAAGCCCTGAAAGAGGAAGTTGTGTAAACCTCTAATTAGGGGCACTAGGAGGTATATAGCTAAATGGCTGTACATATCTGCATTTCCCACAATCAGGCATGGATAATGAAAGTGCATATGCGCTGGCACGGACAGCTTTCTTCACCAGGGTATACCTCAGATTAATAATTTCGCGCATCTCGCTCCCGATCTCACGCCAGGTTGACTGAGAGAATGGTAAAAAGAGTGCATAGTCAGAAGGAGAGGAAGAAAGGTAGAAAGAAAGAAAAATTAGCTCTACCAGTGGGATTTGAACCCACAACCTCTTGCATGGAGTTATGCATTATCGAGTCCTGGATAGCTAATAGCAGGATGCATACATTGACACTGTCTGTTTTGCTACATAACAGAACTTGCCAAATACTTACCAGTATTTGTAGCCCAAGACACTAGCCACAAGCAAAGAGAAAGTGGCAGTAAGAACGACTAAATTGACAGTCACGGTTGCAATCACTACTACTGGACCAGAGTCTTCCGATGGCTCCTCCAGATACACTGTCACTGGAGATGAGAAATTTCCACCTCCAACAGCTGTTACTGCCTGCACCTAGTATAGTATGCGGAAACAATACTTGATACAATCTTCGTCTACAAAGAAGAGTGCACCAAATTAGTGTTTAGATGACACACCAACATAATAAGTTGATAATTAAGTGGTAATTAAGTGGGCTCGCTCCGCTAGCCCAATTACATGTCAACAACGACATAAAAAGGCAGAGGCTAACCAAACAAAACTACATCCAGGACAACTCCTTTTTTCAAGGAAAAGTTATAGCTATATACCACAGATCGTGAAATTAGCAAGTCATAAAAAAAAACTTTTTGAACACTTTTATAATTATGTCTGAGAGAAAAAAACGTGTTAATCTTGATTCTTGCTTACCACAACATTGTATGTTTTCCCAATGTCTCCATGCTCACGCAAGTCAATCTTTGGAATGTGTAACTCCTCAACTCTGGTGACCACCAGTTGCCCAGAGTCAGCTGTGGATATGATGACATTGTAGTAGAGAATGACTCCATTGGGAGGAACTGGAGAAGACCAGCTCAACACTCCATTCTCTCCCACCACAAACTCTGTCACTGTCCCTCCAACTGCATGGGGTGTCATTGGTTACTACAGTTTTACATAAATGATTAGTAGTGGATCAGTAATGCCAGCAACAACTGAGCAATGAAAAATCCATTGTTTAACACAAACACCTCCTTCCAGAGTGGTGGCAGTGGTACTGAGACTCCTGGCATTGATATTGTTGTCCTGAGAGGAGACATCATTCTCAGCAGATACAGAGAATGTGTAGAGGACACCAGGAGTCAGTCCAGTCACAATGGTCTCTGCATCATTCACCTCACTCACCACCACTCTCTCTCCTCCACTCCCTCCTACGAATCATAAGTGAAATATGAAAGAAAAAGAAAAAAATTCAGTGACATTCCTATTTCCAGGGAAGAAGGTGGGCGTCAAACCCACAGCACTAATATGCAGCCTAGGCAGAGTGCTCTAACCTGAAGTACCAGGGCAGTTAAACTGGCAAGGTTCAAACAATACCATTCTTACAGAACAGGCACAAACTGCCTTGTCATTAGAGATCTTGCTACCAGTAGAGATTTTGCTATCATTGTCTTGCCATGCAATGGCAAAAATTATACGTACCAGTGGCAGTGATGGTGTAGACTCTGTGAAATTAAAGTGGATGTAGGGATGTCACATCATGAAAAAGGAGGGAACATGAAGATGCCTACACCGACTGGTGTAGAGGCCCGAGAACCAAGAAGGACACGGCAAGAAGATGACACACTAGGGACAGGGAGGGAGGAGGTTGGAGACACAAGGAGACCAGGGGAGCAAGACATAGAGGGACAAGCCACAAGTGGGACAAGGCAGCAAGACAGGGGAGAAGAAACAAGAGGAGCAGACCGGCCAGAGGAACCCGAGAGAAGGGGGGCAGAGGGGCAGGGAGAAGCAAGGGGATTAGAGGTGTATGAGGGACAAACGGAGAGGCAAGGGGGCCAGGAGGAAAGGGAGAGAGAGGGGGGAGGAATGCAAGAGCAAAAAGGGACTAGGCGGCAAGATGGAGAAGATGCAAGAGGGACAGGAGTAGGAGCAGCTCAAGCCAGAAGAGGTGCAGGAGAATGAGATACAAGGAGGACGGGCACCAGAGCACAAGAAGTACGGGGCGTCACGATCGACAGGGAGAGAGAGATAATGCCGAAGAAAAGGAATGTAAAATAGAAGAGCAATACAAAGTGTGCGTAAAAGGAATAAGCTATGCTCGCACTGTTAAGCATCAAAATTATACGCTGTTTCCTCTGCAACCAGCCCAACTATAGCATGACTGTGACATTTTAGTACCCAAACCTTTATGAATAGTTTACACAAACACTTTTACTGATAGCATTTAGCTTGTTGTTTTACAATGTATACTTATGTATGCATTAGTGTTGTAACCTATATTTACTCTTTAGTGCACAATTATGTGTCATCACTAATAATACAAGAAAAAGCAAAGATGATAAAAATCTGCGAATTAACACGTGTGGAATATAGGGATGCATAAAAGCAAGGAGACAAG